TATTGACAACTAATATTTGCACATCTTGTCATATGAATAGATGAAGAAATTCATCATAGCAACAAGTGAGGTGCAGCATAACCACTTGCAAATAGATTTGATCAAGATTATATTATGGTACAAATTACCTACTTAGGTATCCCAAATAAATTACCTTGGCCTAATGTGATTTACATCTAAAACAAAAGCACTGATGTTAGGGCTGGAATATTCGCAGTCAAGTTTCTGGCTCAATAAGTCACTGGCCATGTGATCTTTGAAAAATCACCTAATTTCTTTACCGTGAAATTTCTCAAAAATAGAAATGAAATAATAGCAATTATCTTGCAATGAGTAAAAGTGTTGTGAGGATGAAATGAGATGATGTGTATTAAAATAGTTCATCAAGTTCAAACCTATTCACAAATATGACCCTAATCTTAACCCTTCCCCTCCCTAGATTTTCCTCATCTCAGTAAATGGCAACTCAATCCTTCTACTGTTCAGGCCCCAATTTGGGGAGACCATGAGTCACTTCTCATTTTCTCTCACACCCCACACTCACCCATCGGCAAATCCTGTCAGTTCTGTTTCTACCATATATCCCAACTCTGGCTGCCGCACCGCTGTGAGCACTACCACCGCAATGCAGGTATCATCAGATCTCGTCTGCACTGGCACAGCAGTCTGCACGCTGGTCTCCGTCCCCCTTGCCCCTCACAGCCTCATCTTTATCAAGCAAGGAGAGTGGCCACTTTATTGCCCAAATCAGACCATGGCATTCCTTGTCTCAATACCCTCCAATGGCTTCCATCTCATGTCTCTCTTAGAACCATTGTCCAGGACTGTCTTGTAACCTACGGAGGTACTGAAAGGCCTGACCTCTTCCCTGTTCTGTGTCTCTTCTGTCCTGTCCCTTTCTCTTGCTCTGCTCCAACCACGTTGGACTTCCTGATACTCCTCAAACATGGCAGCAGGCAGGCATGTGCATGCTGTTTCCTCTGCCTGGAACACTTTCCCCTACTAACAAATAATGCTCCCTCCAGAATTCCTTTAGGTCTCTGCCAAATGTCACCTCCCCAAATGGTGGCTACCCTTTGTGGATAAGATGACCTCTCCCCCATCCCCATGATTACTGTCTATCTTCTTACTTTGCTCTGTCTTTTCACAGCTCTTATCAATTGATATTGTTACATATTTTGTTTGAGGGGAGTCCTGGGGGCCTAACTGCCCCCACTGAAATGTCCCTTCCAGGACAGCATGCTCGAATACTAATGAATATATTCCTTCATGACAACAACTGCATTCATTTATGATAGTCAGGGAAGCTGGTTAGTGTCTGGAGTTTAAACAAAACCAAGCAGGGTATAAAGAAAATGAATAAAAAATACAAAGAGAATCATCTTTTACTAAGGCACTAGGAAATCAGAGTACTAACACTCAGACTCGCCATACCTGGTGAAACTCAGTTTGAAGACCTGCAGCAGTACTGCCCATCCCCACTAATTCTCATCAGTAGGAGACAGGCTCTAAGGAACAAGGATAAACACTAAAAAGTTCTCCTGCCTGATTCCATTATGCTTCATTCTTTGTTTTCCTTACACCTTTCCTGGTATCATTTAAACTCTGAACACAGCCATAACCTATTTTCATTTAACTGTTATAAAATATGGCTGGCAAGGGTAAGGATTCCATGCGTGGGGACATAGTGAAAAGAACACACACTGGACTCAAGAGACCTGGATTTTAAGCCTAGCACTTCCACTCATTAACCCTGGAGTGAACTGGATCAAATACCATCATGTAACCCCACTTCATACCCTTTTTGTGTAAGATATTATCTCCAATATCCCCCATGACTTTGAAGCGAGGTACTGTAGGATTGCATTTTATTTATTCATCTTAGAAACTACAAAAAAGCCCTGTAACAAAGTCTGTCCCATTATGTATTACAAAAAGCAAAAAACAAAAAATCAAGTTAGACAGAATAAGCAACATCCTCAGGACTGTATTGTCTCTCTTCAACACTGCAGGAAGCTTTGACACCTGTCTGGCAATCGCTGTAGATCTGATGCCCAGTAGACAGGGGCCTTCCCTGGGGATCAGCCTCCCCTCTAATTCAAAGGAAACACTGGGGCAGGGGAAACACACTTGGATTTTTAGTGCATGGATCAGTTATCCCATAATTTCTAACCTTGAGTGAGAACTAGAAATTAGACCATGAGATTTCACATACATCAGTCAAACTGCACAAGCAATAGTATTTCTATTTAAATAAGTAGGAAAGGAAAACATGTGGGGACATTATTATGAAATTACTTGTAAAGGCAAAGATTTTGGCAAAAGATGACTCCTTCTCACTTTCCCCTTGGTGCTTAATTAGCATTTCCCTCCTAGAGTTTGCCACAGGTTTGTGGACATTAAAGATATTTCTGCCTTTGCCCATTTTCCTGAGCAGATGAAGAATCTCTAGAAACTTACCTTATTTGTCACTCACTGTAAAGCTTTACTCGACCCATCATAATGTCTTGCAGATACTAAGCATTCAGAAAAAATTACCAAGGCATTATTTTTTTTTCTTTTTATGATAGTAGTGAGATATCATTACCCAAATAGAATTTTATGTTCCATTTAGTGGCCTTGCCCCACAAAATCCAGAGTTCTAGTGAAAATGGAAGCAGAGACTCTACTCTGTCTCCAGCCCCAAAGTTAATTAAATCCATGTTCCCAAACTAGTCTGCACATTGGAACAATGTGAGGAGCTTCAAAAGTACTGCTGCCTATTCCCCCCACCCCTCACCCCCGAAAGATGGAGATTTAATTGGTCTGGGGTGTGGCGTAGGCTTTGGAATATTTAAAAGATCCCCAGATGATTCTAATGTGCAAACAAGTTTGAGAAACATTAAAGATTCCTGTGAGGCTAATTGAAGGCAGATTTTTGTCAGTTTGTGTTTAGATATACCCCATTTTGTGCCAGAAAGAATGTAAAGTAGCTTTGTAATGCTCATAGGATTTTATAAGAATGCTAATGACTGGACAGATCTTTGAAGTTAGTATAAATTTTTAAAATAAAGGCAGCATGCCAGCATCATCCTAATTTTGAGCATCTCAAAAAAATGTATACAGTGTATACAGTACCATAGTCGAACTGCAATTTTGTCATAAGAAGATTAATTTTTAAAGACAATTTTGAACTAATGTTTTAAGTACATGAAAACTTTGTGTTAAGATAAGGGAAGACTTTTAGAAAATTTCTATGCGTTTATCCATATGTTAACCGTTTACCGATTTTTCTCTCCTTGTCTCATCACCTTCCCCTTCTCCCTCCCCGTGGACATTCCTGCCTCCAGTAAGGGTTACACTGACGTTGTGAGGATCCCTGAAGGGGCAACCCACATAAAAGTCCGACAGTTCAAAGCCAAAGACCAGACTAGATTCACTGCCTACTTAGCCCTGAAAAAGAAAAACGGTGAGTACCTCATCAACGGGAAGTACATGATCTCCACTTCAGAGACGATCATTGACATCAATGGAACAGTCATGAACTACAGCGGCTGGAGCCACAGGGATGACTTCTTGCATGGTATGGGCTACTCTGCCACGAAGGAAATTCTAATAGTGCAGATTCTTGCAACAGACCCCACTAAAGCATTAGATGTTCGTTACAGTTTTTTTGTTCCCAAGAAGTCCACTCTAAAAGGAAACTCTGTCACTAGCCATGGCAGCAATAAAGTAGTACCCCATACTTCACAGCTGCAGTGGGTGACGGGCCCGTGGCTGGCTTGCTCTAGGACCTGTGACACAGGCTGGCACACCAGGACGGTGCAGTGCCAGGATGGAAACCGGAAGTTAGCAAAGGGATGTCCTCTCTCCCAAAGGCCTTCTGCATTTAAACAATGTTTGCTAAAAAAATGTTAGCCTGTGGTTATGCTCTTATGCACAAAGATAACTGGAGGATTCAGCACTGATCCCGCCGTGGTGAACAAGAGGTCTACCTAATGCACAGAATGTCATGCTTCAGTGTCATTGTCCACAGGAGTCGAATTATGGGCAGAATCTGCTCGCTGTGACCAAAAGAAGATGTGCACTGCTTCATATGACAATGGTGACCTTGGAATATAGAATAACTTGGGAGTGATTGAACATCCCCTGGGCCTACAAAGATGAAAAAAATCACTGATGAATGTAGAGTCAGGGGACATTTGAAGATGGCAGAAGAGTCTCCCCTTTGTCACCTACCTCTTATAGAATGTCTTTAAAGGCATCATAATCATTTTCAACCATGATACACAGTAGCTTATTTTTACTGTTTGTAAATATGTTCTTCCTTGGTATGTCACTTTATATCCCTTGGTTCTATTAAAATATACATATATATACATATATATATATTTCTATACAGAAGTGTTTGACCAAAGTAGGTCTGCAGCTATTTCAACTCCCTTCAGTTTCCAGAAAGAGCTGTGGATGTTTTACTGGAAATTAAGAACTTGCTGCTGTTTTAATAAGATTTGGTATATTTTCTGACTACAGGAGATAAAATTTGAGTCAAAAACCATTTTGACAGCAAGCATCTTCTGAGAAATTCTGAAAAGAAGAAGGATCTCAGTGTATCTCCTCATTTAAATATATACACAGGTCCATCTACTTAGACATTTGACTGCCTGTATTTTTTTCAGGTAGCCAGCCAAATTAATGCATAATTTAGAATATAGAAGTAGGGTTTGCGTGTGTATGTGACCAGTATTCAAGAGTCTAAAACCTAATTTCCTCATATTGAAATTTAAAAAAAAAAACATATTTCACGGTGTTTTCAATTTATATTTTCACAGCTGCTTTCTCTTTCTCTGGCTCCCATCTGGAATCGCACAATGTGTAATATACATATAAAACACGCAGCTAAGATTTTTCTATCATATCCAACACCTTCAACACTGGTATACCTCTTACCAGCAGGCCTATAAAATGCATTTACATTTGTTTTGCTTGTTTGTTTGTTAGTTTTGTTCAAGGGTTCCATAAGACCTACAATGTTTTGTTCTTCTTGTCGACTTAGTTTAATAGGAACATTAAAGATCACGTGGTAATTAGCCACATCTAAAAGTGGTTATCATCGTTAATGTGGTTAATGCAGAACAAAAAGTGGTTAATATTAATAAGACTGTTTCCACATCATAGGCAATAACTCCTTAAATTTTTTAATCTAAGCATGTTTCTACTGTACTAAAGATTTTTCCCAACTGGAAAGTATTTGGTTGTACCAGTAAGTGTTTGAGTGATGAAATGTGATGATTTTCAGGAAGTTGTTGCTTTTATTTCTATAGCCTGTTTAAGTAGGTTGTAAGTTTGAATAGTTAGACATTGAATTCTTTTATAGTCATACACCTAAAAGTCTCTTTTAAGATAGTAAACTGCATACCCCCACTCCCCATAGCTCAGAAAATCTAAGGTGTTTCATTTCACTGGGATTATTTTTTTCTTTATGAAATAGTGCAAAGCCAATTGTTTTTTATAAAATTTTATAATATTCTTACCAAATGTGCCTATTGTTAAGGATTTGCATCTAAGGATGTTTGAGTTCCATTAAGCTCATGGGAGTTTACTTTTATTGTAAGATATTTTAATATAGAAGAATTATGTAGTTGATGTCACTATATCACTTTCATTTGGGTGGGCCAGGAAAATGGATGTCTCACTGTTTTAAGTATTTTCTTAAGAATTTTTTTTTTAAATAATTGTTTTACAAAATGAATACTAATCCTTTGAATTTTCATAGAAACTTTGCTTTAGATGTGGTCATTTTTTTCTTAATAAATAATCAGCTCAAGAAATGAGGCCTATACAAGGCTGGTAACTTATATTTGATGGACATCACCATATACCAATGGCAGCAACCAAAGCTAGTCAAATCAGAAAAAGAATAATAAAAATCACATTAACCATTTGACTGAATAAAGGGAATGAATAGAGAGTCCAATGTTACTTTTTCCAATTTTGAAAATAATTTTAATCAAGTAGCTCAAATGTGACAAAATTTATTTTTATCTTGAGTGATTACATTACTAACAACATTAAAAAATAATTGAAGAGTAAACATAGTTGTTTCCTACTCTGCTTCTCTATAGTATATTAATAGATTTTTAACATGATTTATTAATGATTCATTTTTCCCCCAAATAGTGACATTTATACTTCTCATTGAAATAATCTGAGTGAGCGTAGGGCAAATAAACCACTATTCCATGCTTTTAAGGAGTTTTTTTTTTACTTTTTTCTTACGAGTATCACTAGATTGACGGAGGAATGTATGTCTAAACTCCTGAGAAAAACGCTGCAGGCTGGAAACTGAAATTCAGAGGAAGGGAGTGTTCAGTAGATGCAAAGAATGATGACTAAAGGGAAAATCCTCTATAACTCAATCCAATTCAGTTCAGTTTCACTTTGTACTATGTCTTCCACCTTACCATAGTTGTATCTTGAATTTTTAAAAAGTCTAAAATTCAGGATGCTAGGGGTTACTTCAAAAAAAAAAAGAGTTTATCTGAAAATGCTCAGGTTTATAAGAATCTAATCTCATTTATGTAATAACTAAGCACTCCAGAATGAGTTTCATTAAGTACAAAGGGAGCCCACAAGAAAATAGCATTTATTTCTTCTAGACCACACAAAGTCAAATTAAGCCCTGCCTCATTGTTTAGAGGTATAGGGCCATTGTTACAATTTATTCAACACATTCAACTTCCTTTGCCATCCTGTGGAAACAGTTTTATCTCATTAAACTAAGAATTAAGGGACGAATCACGAACAAAAAAAAAAAAGTTGCAGCACTGAAAAAAAAGTAATTTATTGTCTTTGCAACTGGTATGTGAATTTGTGTGATAAAATTATTTATTCTTATTTAACAAAAATATGTGCAAATTCTTCTATATTTAAAATGTTTTGCTGTTGTCCTACTTTTTAATTTATGCTTCATGTTTGTGTATAAAGTACACCTTGTGAGTTTACATAATATACAGCACTGGTTGCTTTTGTATTTTTTTACAGAAAGCTTTCTGTGCAAAACAGGCGTGTGTGTGTGTACGTATTTCTCATGTATCCTTATTCTGAAACTACCATTTTCCTTTCTAAGGAAATTTTAAGTTTGATCTTTCATGACTAGTAGTGTTCATTACTTGCAGCTATATTAATAGTTCTTTTACATCCCATTGACACTAATTTTTCCAAGTCACAGATAAGAAGAACTCTTATTCAATCAAACAAGGTGCAAGTTTTAAATCTGACTACACAGATAGCCTAGGAGCTTCCCATAGACATTAAGATACAGTCAAGAGTCAGGTCCATTCAATTCACTGAAAAACCTGGACAAGTAACTACTGATGTATTAGATGAAAGTTGTGTACACAACCTCTGAGGACTATAAATGATAATAAAACCAAATATTGTGTTTTGCTGCTTTAGAAACATCCCCTAAAATTAATGTCATTTAGTGTCTAGTGTCTATAGGATTCTACAGATGAGTGCAAACAAATTGGATTTATATGATTCAGATGCTATTAGTCATAATTGTTTCTACGGATATGGGGTGTCCATTAATAGAATATGACTTTTTCCTACTACTATTGAATCCCCTGGAATGATCATAGGATTGGGGACAGGCAGGATCACCTCTAATGACATCAACTTGCCTCCAACTGTGATTTCGCAGTCTGATCCCAGCAATAAGGCAAAGCACCCTTGGTCTCATGGCACCATTTACTACATCAGTCTCTGGTGCTGATGTTTCCCTATTGACTTCTTCCTTGTTAACAAGGTCATTGTAATGGTTTAGGTGAAGATAGCAGCCAGATTCAAAGTTCAGGACTTGTGCTATGACTTAAAGTTCACTGTAAAATAAGATCGAATTTAATAATGACTGCATTTTGCTAGTGGTTTATGACTGTGAAATCTCATTGGCAGGATTGGTGCACATTACTAATCTCTTCATACTTAAACTTGAGGGCATACAAATACCTTATATTTTCAAACATTTCAAAGCTACAAAATACTCTGTACCATGAGTACAGAAGGATCGTCTGAACTATAACAGAACCAAATTTGAGGTGCTTCATCATTTAGACACACAAAAAAAGGAATTTGTATAATTTCTCTATTATTGTTCTCATTTGCCACCAACCTATAGTTTTACATTATCAGATTAACTTAACCGACTAGTACTCTGAAAAAAAATTTTCTTAATAGCGTTCTGTTAGCATGAACTACAGATATGATGTATCATCATGAAATACATCAGTCTATAATGCATAATTGTGTCCTATTTAATTAACACATAGGAAGATATTGAAATAGAAACCATGCATTAGTCAGCCAAAAAAACAGGAATACATATAGTGATCAGATCAGCAAATAATTCATTCTGGCAAATTTCTGTTTGGTGCCATGATGTAATTCTCAATGCAAGTTTTGTGTGAAAAATCAATACGTTGTCAGATATTGGTTTTGAAAGACAAAAAGACTTTAACATACACATTAGTTAGCCCAGTTAATTGCACCTTACTAATATACTAGCACTTTAGTAATAATTTTTCTATCTTTGGTCCTTATTTGCTTGTCTGCTCCACCAACTAACTAGTCCATTTGACTAGTTAGGTCAAATGAAAAAATAAATAATGGTCCATCATCCTATAAAACACTGCCACATCAGAGTGACCCAAAGTCTAACACTGTGAGGAAAACTGTGATTTGTAAATAAAACAGGGCATGCTTTTTTACTTTTTTCATTTTCCTTTGGCACATCCAATGAACAATTGTCATTATTATTGAGGTGCTAAGAACTTCAGTGACCAACTTCAAATGTGGTATTTCTGAATTACTACTTTTTTCCCTGCATGATTTTACAATTGGCAAGAAAGACCTGTAAGCTTTTTCTCAACATAGGACATAACTTGATACTCAAAATTTGGGGAAATAAGGACATCCAATGGTCATTCTGACCAACAGTGGTCAGTGACAGAAACTATATGTATATCTGAGGACGTCGAAGGTGTCATCAAAACTTGAAGAGCATCAGACCGGTGTAGCAGACTTTTGGATGAGTCATGTGTCGGCATTTACTAAGTCCTCAGCATTGCATTCAAACTTTTGCGTACATTTGGCCTGATTATTTTTAACCTTCATAATATTTTACATCCCTAGTAAACACTTAGTGGCTATAGCTCAGCCTTTTCTTTAACAATTCACAATATGTTAGAAAGAATTCTGCTTATACTGAGAGTATATTTAGAATAGAAGATCATGTTGTGTGTGACTTTGTGAGGCTAGATTTTTAATTCAG